TCTCTCTCTCTCGGATTAACCGGGTAAACGAGCACGAACAAAAACGAACGAGCAACTTGCTGCGAGTTACTTCTGAAGCTGTTTGAGTTTATTGAGGCAAGTTGTTGTTCGTTCATTTTTGTTCCCGTTTGCTGAATTTGGTTTTAAACGCCGATAAGTTGATAAGATTTTCCAGTTAAATACGCCTAGTAGTTAATGTTTTGTCAATGATAACTGTTGTAGATGTCGCGTCATATCGTCGTTTATTCTTGATTAGCACGTATGAATCATCGCTTTGCATAGGTGTGCAAACTATATAGTTTGCCACAATTACGCAAGCACGAGCAAATAACAACGAAGAATACAGTGCATTATTAATCTCTAATGGTTTTTTTCATTAATCTCTAATGGTTTAATCTCTAATAATCTTTTCGTGTTGTAGTGCGCGTTTAGGAATGGGCGCTCCGGATTGGTCGAGCGATTTGACACGCAGTCTCAATCGTATGACTCAAGATATTAATGAACAAGTGCAACATTTTACCCGAAATTTGCACGCGCAAATAGAGGAAAACGTACAGAGGTCATTGCAACCGGCGCTCGAACAAGTTCAAGAAACAATTAACAACTTACCGAGAGGTAATCGATCGTAAGATATTTTTATTGACTGACGTTTGTTTCATATTGGGATCACGTTTGAAAGCGTAAATATGTAATAAAAATTAACCAGCTATTTAATAGCGTAATACATAATTTAATTTGCATTTAATATAAAGAGATAATCTAAAAGAGAGATGAGAAAACATAATTAAATCTTTATTCAGTTTATGCATAATTGATCTGTTAAATAACGGAGATATAACAGAAATCTTGATATCTTTACTGAAGCTACTCATCAAATTAAATAGCCGCATTACTTTCTTTTACGTCGGATTATTTTTATTATTGATTCTTTGTTCAATTTAACATCTTTTAAATCTCTATTTAGTTTATTTAATGTGTATTTAATGTTTTTTTCCTAAACTAGATTGAACTTTAATATTCTTGATTATTCGAGTTATTTTTCCTATTTTTATCTTAATATGTAAAAACGTAATCTCTTTCCTGTCGCATGCGGAAGAAAGGTCAACACGTTTACATAATAGTTCAATGCTTAATCGG